CTGAGGCACAGGCACCCAAAGCAAGCACCTCCGTGCTGCAAATTCTCACCCTAACAATTGCACTGGAGAAAAGCCTAATCCAGTCAAAATGTTTCATCTTCATTCCAGGCACAGCTCCAGTTTCCATTTGCAAGTTCATGAGAAAAACTTTAGATTTCTCTGAGCAATTGGTTTTCATACTCAATTTCTCTTTTCTCTCTCTCTCTCTCTCTCTCTCTCTCTCTCTCTCTCTCTCACACACACACACACACACACAACACACATTTATACATATATGTATATGTACAAATGTATATATGAAGACATATACACATACGGCTGCATACATTAGTGGTTAATTTCTCTTTGATAGGTTTAAATAAATTCAGTTCCTGACAAATGGATATTCTTTTGTTCCCTTTCATTATAACTCAGAATTCTCTTTAGTTCCTTGTGTTTTTTAGTAGTTTATTTTTGTGTTCTAGGTTCCTTCAAATTCTGCTCAGGGCCCACCTCTGTAAGTAAGTAATAGATTCAGGGCAACAAGAAATAGCTTTTTTATTTCTAGTATCCCGGGTCTGTTTCATGATATTTTAGTCTGTCTTTGCTTTTTCAGGACACGAAGGTCTTGCTGTTCTGCTCACAAGAAGAAAGAAGCCCATCTTCTCCCTCCCTGGCAACCAGCCTGCATTTCAGGGGTGAGGCTGTTGGCCTAGATACACTGCAGAGTGATGTGGTCACTTCCCCTGACTACACTTCCAGATGTTATTTTACGGGATACTAACCCATTATATAACCGCTGGATGACCTCTAAATACTGCATATCCCTCTCCTTCACACTTAGGAATGTCTGTGCAGTTATCAAAGATCAATATGAGGTTTACATAGGAATTATCCCCCACAGATTTCTATCAAGACCCAGAAATAAAGTATAACTAAGAAAGGGTCTTTGTGTTTATGCATAGGCAAGGATCTCTCTGGAAAAGGCAGAAAGATTTATTACCCATGCCAAAGGAACTGTGGAGATACTAGGATTTTTGCTATTTATTAGATTTCATAGTCATATTTAGATTAAGAGATCTGAGTGTCTTTTTTTACCACAAAGAACTGCCTTGCAGAAGGTTCACTTCTTCTTTGCCCTTATGTACTAATATTCAGAACAGCAGAATTCCCTTTTCCTCTACATATCTAAATACATGACATGATGGAGTGTTATTTATTGATTTGACCGAGGAGAGAGAGAGAGAGAGAGAGAGAGAGAGAGAGAGAGAGAGAATCGCTTAGTTGTTTCACTTATTTATGCATTCATTGGTTGTTTCTTGTATGTGCTCTGACTGGGGATCAAACCCACAACCTTGGTGTATCAGGACAGCACTAACTGAGCTAGCTGGCCAGAGTCAATGGAGTGATTTTTTAGAATTTATTTTACTGTTTAGAGTTTATTTAAGTATCTTTTAGTGTTTATTTTTTCCAAAACAACATCTAAATTTAAGCACAGGTGAAATGAAACAACAACTTACAATTATTAGATGAGACTATTTCTATTATTCAACTAACAAATATCTTATTTAGCACCAATTATGTGCCAACAGTTATGTTAAGTGTGGAAAACGTGTCCTGTGTGTTCTATATTTTCTTAGGATGCAGAAAGTGAAAGGAGAACGTCGCTTCCCCTCTAATAATGAGAATAAGCTGGATAATATACAGAATCATAAAAGGTTTTTAGTCTATTAAGAATCTAAGAGCACTGGGTGACCTAATGAACTGAAATGCAAAAGGTGACAAGTCTCTGATGAAAGGGCTTACCTTTCACAGAGCAGTGAGAAGAGGAGGAAGCTGCACGTGGGTAAGAAGAAAATAGATGAAATTTTTATTTTATTTTTATTTTTTTGCTGCCTGGACCTGGAATAGAACCGTGACCTCCTGGTTCATGGGTTGATTCTCAACCACTGAGCCACAATGGCCAGGCTTAATTAATTGTTAAACACTGAGGCACAAAGATCACATTACCCACCCAATCCCTTCCCTGGCCTTCACTGAGAGCTCACAAAGAAGACTGGGGACAGAAAAGAGGAAATAAAAGAGACTCTATGGTGCAAGTGTTCATGGCCTGAGTCTGATGGTGAAGAAAGGTAATGAAAGAAGCCTTCCGCATCCCAGGCACTGAGAGCTAAGAGCTGGCACTCATCACTGGAGGAGGGCAGGGGCGCTGCAGGAGATCACTCTTCCCAAGACATAGGTGTGCAGGGCCTACCTGAGCCTGCAGGAGGACAGCAAGATACCCTCCGGTGCTCCAGGCCTCATACTAATTATAAGGAAGCATCACTCTGACACTGGGGAGTTGAAGACTGTAATGCATAGAATGTAACTAAAGCAAAAATAATCTCAACCAAAGCAGGCAAGAAAAAAGGAATAGGGGAGACAGAGTGGATGGGACAAATAGAAATTAAGCACTGACATGATAGACAGAAATCCACCCATCTCAATAACTATTTTAAGTGCAAATGGATTCAACCCACTAACAGATCAGGCTGGATTCTAAAAATGACCCAACTGTATATTCTGTTTATAAATAACACATGAAACACAATCAAGTTGAATAATGAAGTTATAAAATAATATACAGGGTGAGGGGGAAAGTAGGTTTACAGTTGTGAGCACATGAAACACAGAGTTTATTTTTATATTATTATTTATTACTGTGGGTTTTTTTTCCATACAAAGAACTTAAAACCTACTTTTGCCCCACCCTCTGGTTTTCAAACACCAAACATAAATTGGTGTCACTTGTGATTTAAAAAGGTGCCCACCTGATAATACCTGGTTATAGAAATCCATTCACCTTTCCATGTTGATGCATCTATACCCTGTAAAACATCCTATACCTCCATCTCTAATGCTCACACTATGCTTTATTTGCCACACTTTCTATTTTTCACTGAACAGCACCCATGCATTTTTCTGATTGTTTATTATGAACCTAATACTATGAAACAATTAAACTCACCAAAGTCATCAAAGTTTACAATCTCATTAGAGAAGCATGACACAGAAAGATAGTGAGTGTTAAAAGATTTGGCAAGGGTAGTCCATCTACAGATATTTGGAAAAGTAAGTCTCACAAGGATAACGGTGAGACAGACAATGCTTTGAAGTTATCAGCAGCCTTCTAATCTCACTGTGTGCAGTCTTCCCTTCCTCTCAACTTTTCTTAAAAACAGATAAAAATATAATCCAAGTAAAGATCTGATTGTGTTATTTCCCTTTGTAAATCTCCTCCCCACTGAACCCACTCCACTGGCAGGGGGTCTACTCAGTACTGTTAAAATCCAATGTATCCGCAGCGCGACACTGCAGTCCTTCCTTCCTCCACCAGAACCGTTGAACACTCTTCGTGGGATTGTACTCGAGGCCTCCTGCACCCCAGACACACACACACACACACACACACACACACACACACACACACACACACACCAAAGCCCTGCCCGCTTTCCTGTATTCGAATGCCATGCTTCCCTATCATATTGTTGGGTCCTGACACTATGCCTACCTACTTCATCCAGGCACTACCTACCTGGGGGTCTCTTTCCAAGCTTTACAACCATGTTATGCCACCATTTGAACCCAGTGGGCTCCGGCTGCCACGTTCCACCAACTGTAGAACATGTCCCCTTAAATATCAATAGTGCCTCCATCACATCACCATGTGTCATTGGAATCCATGTACTGGACTCTTGTTTCCCTTTATTCCATACCAACCCACCTGTGAGGCCCTGCACTGCTTCACAAATAGAGGGTTCTCACACTATTCCCATTCCATTTGACTGTCCCCTTGGCAAGTTCTAATCTCCTTTTTCCACAAAAAAAGAACAAAGGATCGGGAGCAATATGACAGGATTGAAATAAGCAAGAATTATTGTCAAATTGAAAGATAGGAAGGTACTGGTACTGGTTTTTAATACAGAGGAGACAGGCTGGGTCCCGGTCTCATAACAAAGGCTTTGGAGCTCCCAAAGCATTGAATGATATGAAGGTATGAAGTAGAGGGTGGTGAGTTTATAGGCAGGAGTCCTAGGTAAAATAAATGTTCTAGAAACAAAGAATGTGGGTGATCCTAATTTATGGCACTGGGATATATTCACTTATGGGCATGTTGGTAGACAACCAAGCCCACACCTGTTTTATAATAATAGATCAGTCACAGCTAGGATGATTTACCTTCAAAGGTAGTGTTAAAGTACTAATGCTAAGGAAGGCATAAATAATTCTCCAAGTCATTATTGGCCAACAGTGGTGTATAATTTTCTGTCAGGTACAGTTAAAGGGAGAATTATTAACTCAAAGCCTACTACATTACGTTACATAAAATAAACATTGAAAAGGATGTGGAAAAATGGAAAAAGAATTGGCTTAGGTTTAAGCTGTGGGATCAAGTACTGGTTTTTCCAAATACCCTGAGTCAAGCTTTTGAGCTCACTGAACCTCAGTTTTTGCACCTGTAAAATGGGCTATTAAAACTTGCCCTACCTATCTCAGGTTATTGTAAGGAACAATATAAACAATACACTACCATTCATGGGTAGTTATTTTGTCTATTTTTACGGCCATTTTCACAGGCACAGTGTCTCATAATCTGGTTAATATAATGTCTTATTTTTGACATATAAATAGTCATTAGGAGTTTTAAATCCCTTTTGTAACACAGGATATTTGAAGATCCGCTTTTGAGGCCAGAGTTTTCAGCGGAGACCAGGATAATCCAGCCGCCAGCTATAAAGCATAACAGCAAGCTCCAAAAACACTACTCGGTTCTGAATGGAAAAATACTTCTGCCAAACCAAGTCTTAGGGGATTTATAGTTGTTTCTCATGTGTCCCCGTGAAAACAGCATCTTTCAAATCTCATTTTTTATGGGGCTGTTAGGATAACAAGTATCATCTGTTTTCCAGGCCTGGGAAATGGATCCAGTTAAACTGAATTTAAGGATGAGATGTATTTTAGGGAATCCAGTAACTTACATCTTGAAGGCAGGGGCAGCACCGATAGAAATAAGCACAGGTGTGTGGCCTCCAGCTTATCGTTGGCACATTCAGGTCTGCTTCTGCTCAGACAGCTCCCAGACAGACATTTCAGAACTGGCATCAACACCTTCGGGGGACAACAGCCAGAGAAATATTTGACAACCAATCATGTTACAACTGACTAGGAAATGCTATCTTCACTCTTCATCATTCCCACCCTCTGGGCAGATTAGAAAAAGGAGGAGGTCTGTTACAAGCAGACCACATGTCTAAATTCTAAGCATCTGGAACTGTGATGGTGAACCTTTTGAGCTCAGTGTGTCAGCATTTTGAAAAACTCTAACTTAACTCTGGTGCCGTGAGACATAAAGAAATTTTTTGATATTTGCAACCATAGTAAAACAAAGACTTATATTTTTGATATTTATTTTATATATTTAAATGCCATTTAACAAAGAAAAATCAACCAAAAAAATGAGTTCGCGTGTCACCTCTGACACGCATGTCATAGGTTTGCCATCACTGATCTAGAACCATGGTCTTGGAAGAAATTAGAGCCCTGTTCTGATAGGTGTGGGTCCTGCCTCTGCCAGGACCTGCACAAGAGCAGTTTCCTGTTCTTACATTGTCATCCTGTGGGCTGACTGAGACTCTGAGAGATTAAAATGTCAAAATCAATAGGTCTGAGTTTCTTAGACCTGGTATGAACTTTTAATAAATGAAAATGCCTGGAAAGTTATATGCTAGAACTGAAATATCTTCAAGGGATTCATGCTTTCAAAAAGATAACATTAGAAAGAACAATTGACAGCCGGTGTAGCTCAGGAATTGAGCATCCAACTATGAACTGGGACATCACAGTCCGATTCCCAGTTAGGGCACATGCCCAGGTTGTGGGCTCCATCCCCAGTGGGGAGCATGCAGGAGGCAGCCAATCAATTCTCTCTTATCATTGATGTTTCTATCTCTCTCTCCCTCTCTGATATCAATAAAAAATATATATTTTTTTAAAAAGAACAATTCACAGCCATTACTACAAACAAATACAACTGTTTTAATTTTACATCCCCCATGTTTGGGACACCAGACTAAATCACTTACCTCCTATCAAGGAGTTTGGATATTATTCAAGTAGAAAGATATCCCCCTCATGATGTCTGCCATTCAACTTCCACGTATCCCCCCCCCCAACCAAGAAGATTATGCAGAGTTTAAATTTTTGTAGCCTGCATTATGAAAACCACAGGTTTATGGAATATGAATTTCCACATTACTAGCCTGTCCACCTTGAAATATTCCTGAACTATGGGGAGTCATTACAGACTTTAAGCAGGGGCATGACATCTGTCACCAGTGCTCTGGTGAGGATTGGAAGAGGGCATGGCTGGACATGGAAAGGTATGTTAGGAGGCAATAGCAGTCACACAAGTTACAGATCATGATAGCTTAAGATAGGCATGTGCAGAACAACAGATCGCATAGATATTTAGAAATCAGGATTGGCAGGAGGACATGACTAATTGAATGTTGTGGCTGAGAAGGCAGGAGGACATGACTAATTGAATGTTGTGGCTGAGAAGGAAAAATAAATCAATGATAACACCTACATTTCTGATTTCAGAAACTGGGTGGATGTTGATGCCATTAACTAAAAGGATGAAAATGAGCACGCATTGGGAATGGGAAAAAGACGATGTATTCAGATTAGTGCATTTTGCACTTGCTAATGGGTTGTGCATCTATGTATAAGTTGGAGGTGAGATAGCTGTTTAGAGTTATCATAGGCATCTTTTTAAAAAAATACATTTTTATTGATTTCAGAAAGGGAGAGAGAAAGAGAGAGAGAGAGAGAGAGAGAGAGAGAGAGAGAGAGAGATCATCAATGATGAGAGAGAATCATTGATTGGCTGCCTCCTGCATGCCCCCAGGCATGTGCCCTGACCTGGAATTGAACCCTGACCTCCTCATAGGTCAAACCACTGAGCAACACCAGCTGGGCTGAATTACATCTTTATACATTGTAAGCTGAATCTTCAGAGTTTTATAATTATTGCTTCATGCTATTGTCTTTTAAAGTCAAATAGGAGAAAATAATTACAAACAAAAATACATTTATACTCTCTTCTATATTTACATACATAGTTACCATTACTGGTGCTCTTTTTTCTATGTGTGGACTTGAGTTAATGTCTTTTCATTCTGCCTCTGCAATTACAATTTTCTGTCTATTTCTTCATACTAGATTGCCTTGACATCACCTAATATTAATTAAGTTCTCTTAGGAGAGTGTTGAGGAATAAAGGGAAGTAGAAGAGACTGATAAAAGTTGAGAAGGGAAGGTCTTTCATAATTGGAAGGAACTTTGAATGTTGAAATTTAGTCTCAGACTCAAATATTTATCATATTTCATCTCCATTTCCATACAGAGTACCAGACACATAGTAGGTGCTTTTTAAATATTTGCAGAATAAATGAACATGAGTCCACATGTTGATTAAGATCAAAGTATTATAATAGGTGAGGGCTAGAACTGGAAAGAAGCTTATATGCACCCAGGGCCAAGTAAACTAAGATAAAGCAGGTC